GCACTGTAAACAGTAACAACCAATCACAGCGCACCATTCCATGCACTGTAAACAGTAACAACCAATCACAGCGCACCACACACCAGCTTATTGGTGTAGAGGAGACAGAGTGATGAAGCCAATCAGCAGATATGAGGATTGTTAGGAGGCCATGATGATCAGAGGCCAATGGGCAAATTTGGCCAGGATGCCGAGGTCACACCTCTACACTTTTCGAAAGACATCCTGGGATTTTTAATGACCACAGAGAGTCAGGACCTCGGTTTAACGTCTCATCCGAAGGACGGTGCTTGTTGACAGTATAGTGTCCCCATCACTACACTGGGGCATTAGGACCCACACAGACCACAGGGTGAGCACCCCCTGCTGGCCTCACTAACACTTCTTCCAGCAGCAACCTAGTTTTCCCAGGAGGTCTCCCATCCAGGTACTGACCAGGCTCAGCCCTGCTTAGCTTCAGTGGGCAACCAGTCTTGGGCTACAGGGTGATATGGCGGCTGGCCGTCATATACAGCATATAGCACTAGTCAACTAAATGAATGTAACATGGCAAAGATGAATGCACTTTTGGAAGTTGAAATGTCATTTTGGAATTTCTGTGGTTTAATGTGATTTTGTTGTTCATGATGAAATGTTCTTTTATTGTTGTAATTAATTTATAGCATTAACAAGATGACCCGTTGAATTCATTGTGGGAGCGATGACTGATTGAATGTATTTCTAGTCCAGTGCCTGCATATAAGAGATTAGTACTGACCAAGTTCAGAGGCTGTCAGATGTGGAACAACTTACTATGTTGTGTATTTTCAACAGTTTCAATATGAAAAATAACTTTTATATTGATTCAATGGATTTATTGCATTTTGGGGGGAAAAAAATGTGTTTTTATAATAAATCTTTGAAAATCTAAATCTGGATTTAAATTTGTAATGTTATTATAACCTAAAGATGCTATGTGAAAGTTAGAAACAGAAAATAGTGTTTTTCATCTCGCCACTTTCTTGGTAAAGAAAACAATTAACAAGATGACCCGTTGAATTCATTGTGGGAGCGATGACTGATTGAATGTATTTCTAGTCCAGTGCCTGCATATAAGAGATTAGTACTGACCAAGTTCAGAGGCTGTCAGATGTGGAACAACTTACTATGTTGTGTATTTTCAACAGTTTCAATATGAAAAATAACTTCTATATTGATTCAATGGATTTATTGCATTTTGGGGGGAAAAAATGTGTTTTTATAATAAATCTTTGAAAATCTAAATCTGGATTTAAATTTGTAATGTTATTATAACCTAAAGATGCTATGTGAAAGTTAGAAACAGAAAATAGTGTTTTTCATCTCGCCACTTTCTTGGTAAAGAAAACACATTTTTACTCAAATTAATCCAAATGGATTTATAGCATTTTGGAAACAAACTCTTCATATATATATATGAGGACTAGATCAAATCAAATAAACAGATACGACTGAAGTCTGACCATGTCTTCTGACTCCTGCAGCCACAGGCGGATGAGCGTGGCCAGAGTGTAATACAGCACCAAGAGCATGATGGGATTGACAAAGTGGTGCCACTCCAGATCAGGGTTGACTCTGAACATCCAGGTGTGAGAGCAGTCCGTCTGAACCACAGGAGAGATGCCAAACAGACTGAGGAGGAGAACATGAGACAAATAGCATTCATATGCATGGTGTAATCTGGATTACGTAATCAGACTCCAAAAATCAAGTACTTGCAAATAGATTAAATTACATTTTAAAATACTCGAAATCAGACTAGTTACCTTTTTATTGAGTATACATATGAACACAGTAGCAATAAATGAATTGATTAATATATTAATACATTTATTGATTCTCCCTAATTCTTTTTTTTTTTATCTTTTAAATGTTCCTTTCTAAAATATAATTATTCACACAAAGACACATTCAGCTGGCTATAATTACACAGAAAACTGAGAGGCCACACAGCATTTCACCACTGGATTTACAAAACTCATTTCAATTTTAAAAAGTGTTTTCTCAGCGTTTGCATCAACTACTGATGAACACATTCATTTTTATTTGAATTATTAGGTTATTTAACCATGCATTACTATGTCTCTGGGAGGCTTTTGTCTTTCAAACACATTAAAATGCACAAATTCACGTTATTTATTATTTATGCAAGCATTCCCAAACTTTTTTTTGTCATCTGAACCTCTTTTTTAAGTAAATTTAAAAACTGCATGTTGTGTTCACTTGTTATCTTTGACTAATATTTAAATTTGTTTGATGATCTGAAACATTAAAGTGTGACAAACATGCAAAAAAATAAGAAATCAGGAAGGGGCCAACACTTTTTCACACCACTGTATCTGTGCATCACTAAAGAGTGAAATGGAGCTCCTACATGTCTCTCATCTGTGCGATAATGAGCCATTCGCCACAGCTGCCTCTTCTTCTCTGCAGTGTAATCAGCCATATTGCTTTCAGGAGATTCTGGTTCCTCTCGTTCCTCAGTCTCTCCCTCTTTCTCTCTGACCTGCCGATGAACCACAATCACAAATACATCCCATATATATCGTCTGGCTACTGGTTTAAAACAAGGAATTCTTAAACTCTCATGTTGTGCTCATTTTTTTTCCCCTGAAAATGCTATTTAATGTCATCACATTGGACTAACACTTAATCACAGAGGCTCACGGAGTATAACAACTTCACAAAAACATGTAGATGTTCGGTGTTGAAATCTTATTTGACTTTTGTGATCATATGAACAGGAAGGCTGTAGTCTGACCATGTCTTCTGACTCCTGCAGCCACAGGCGGATGAGCGTGGCCAGAGTGTAATACAGCACCAAGAGCATGATGGGATTGACAAAGTGGTGCCACTCCAGATCAGGGTTGACTCTGAACATCCAGGTGTGAGAGCAGTCCGTCTGAACCACAGGAGAGATGCCAAACAGACTGAGGAGGAGAACATGAGACAAATAGTATTCATATGCATGGTGTAATCTGGATTACGTAATCAGACTCCAAAAATCAAGTACTCGCAAATAGATTAAATTACATTTTAAAATACTCGAAATCAGACTAGTTACCTTTTTATTGAGTATACATATGAACACAGTAGCAATAAATGAATTGATTAATATATTAATACATTTATTGATTCTCCCTAATTCTTTTTTTTTTATCTTTTAAATGTTCCTTTCTAAAATATAATTATTCACACAAAGACACATTCAGCTGGCTATAATTACACAGAAAACTGAGAGGCCACACAGCATTTCACCACTGGATTTACAAAACTCATTTCAATTTTAAAAAGTGTTTTCTCAGCGTTTGCATCAACTACTGATGAACACATTCATTTTTATTTGAATTATTAGGTTATTTAACCATGCATTACTATGTCTCTGGGAGGCTTTTGTCTTTCAAACACATTAAAATGCACAAATTCACGTTATTTATTATTTATGCAAGCATTCCCAAACTTTTTTTTGTCATCTGAACCTCTTTTTTAAGTAACACATTTGCATGTTGACGTTCTCTGACATTGGTTAATGGTCACATGACACACAAATTAATAAAAATATCTTTTAATATTTTTAGTAAGTGTTTTATTTTCATTGTTGTCGTTTTAAAATAATTTATTTTAATATAAAATGTTTATGATTTAATTAATTATTTGCTTTTCATTAAATTCACGAACCCCCTGCAGTTCCTTCAAAAATCCCAGTTTGGGAAACCTTGACGTAATGTATGTTAAATGCACTTTATATGTTGTCAATAATAACAAATGGAATATATTTAATTTTTCTTTGCATTTTTATATCAATATGGTACAAGATTAGCCTATTTAAATCAATGTGATAAACGAGTTAGGTCAAAAGTAATCTAAAAGTAATCAAACAGTAGCCTGATTATATTACCTAAAATGTGTAATGTAATGGATTACGTTACTGACTACAAGTTTTGTCATGTAATTTGGAATCAGTAATTGATTCAATTTATAAGTAATCTACCTAGCTTTGTATATATATATATATATATATATACATACACACACACACACACACTCACGCTCACACACACACATACTCACACACTCACACACACAAACACACGCACGCACACACACACACACACTCGCACGCACGCACGCTCACACACACACATACTCACACACTCACACACACAAACACACGCACGCACACACACACACACACTCGCACGCACGCACGCTCACACACACACATACTCACACACTCACACACACAAACACACGCACGCACACACACACACACACTCGCACGCACGCACGCTCACACACACACATACTCACACACTCACACACACAAACACACGCACGCACACACACACACACACTCGCACGCACGCACGCTCACACACACACACGCACGCACGCTCGCAAGCACGCACACTCACACACACACTCACACACACAAACACACGCACGCACGCACGCTCACACAGACACACACACACACACACACACACACTCACACGCACGCACGCTCACACACACACACACACACACACACACGCACGCACGCACACACACACACACACACACACACTCACACGCACGCACGCTCACACACACACACACACACACACACACGCACGCACGCACACACACACACACACACACACACTCACACGCACGCACGCTCACACACACACACACACACACACACACGCACGCACGCACACACACACACACACACACACACTCACACGCACGCACGCTCACACACACACACACACACACACACACGCACGCACGCACACACACACACACACACACACACTCACACGCACGCACGCTCACACACACACACACACACACACACACGCACGCACGCACACACACACACACACACACACACTCACACGCACGCACGCTCACACACACACACACACACACACACACGCACGCACGCACACACACACACACACACACACACTCACACGCACGCACGCTCACACACACACACACACACACACACACGCACGCACGCACACACACACACACACACACACACTCACACGCACGCACGCTCACACACACACACACACACACACACACGCACGCACGCACACACACACACACACACACACACTCACGCGCGCACACACACACACACACACACACACACACACACACTACTGTATTTATATGGTGCTCAAAGGCACTTCAAACAATGACGTTGTTTTACATAGTAATAGCATATTTTTGTAAGGTTTAGTGCACATTTTAAAATAATAATAAAAATCCACATAAAAGATGTGAACAATATAAAACTGGAATGATGTGGGAAGGAAAACTAAGTTTATCACCAAATCATAAAGACTGTAAGAGAAGAGCTGCTAATTCACTTCAGACTTCCCAAAGTTAAGCTTGTGTTTATTTCCCCCTATTTGTTTTCTTTTTCTTTTTCAGTGGAACCAAAATTGGACGCCTAAGGAACAAAAATAACAGCTTATGCTTTTTTACCAGGGTATAAATGTGGTAAAGGTATAAAACTAACAGAGTAAAAGGAAATCAGAAGTTCAGCCCACGACATGCAGCTCATTTCCATTTCACTGTCATGTCTGTTCAGAACGAACTCGTGGCTTTTGAATGCAACCTGGATGCGATATATTTCACATTCAGCTGATGAAATCAAGAAACATGGTAACGTCTCGCAGCCGAAACCCTGAAGGCGTATTAGGTGACAAACGCATGCTCCTTGGTTTTTATAGTTTCGGTGCTGTTAGTAAAATCATTGTGGGTTGCCAGATGTTCTTTTTGCTGCTGCTTCATGGCATCGAGAAAATATGAAGTCAGAATATTTGCCCTTTCGTGATTCATCCAAACCCAGAGCGTGACGCCCAAGTCCTAATGCCACGGCTGAAAATAACCACGTATCCAGACAGATGCAGAGACAAACGTCACTTTATATACTCTTACTGTATGTCAGTTATTGTCTCATTTACATCTAATTTTTTTTCCAAAGAAGTTTAGGCAACGCTGGTACACTACTGTTCAAAAGTTTGGTAAGATTTTTGTTTCTGAAAGACGTCTCTTCTGTTCACCAGGCTGCATTAATTTGATTAAAAATACAGTAAAATTGCGAAATATTATTCTAATTTAGAATATCTGTTTTCTATGTGAATCTCTGTTAAGCTGTAATATATTTCTGTGATGCGCAGCTGTATTTTCAGCATCATTCCTCCAGTCTTCAGTGTCACATGATCTTCAGAAATCAGTATAATATGCTGATCTGCTGCTCGAGAAACATTTCTGATTATTATCAATGTTGAAAACAGTTGCGCTGCACAATATTTTTGTGGAAACCGTGATACATGGATTCTCTGATTAATAGAAAGTTCAGCAGAACAGCATTTATTTGAAATAGAATAATAACTTTTGTCACATTATAAATGCCTTTACTGTCACTTTCGATCAATTTAACACATACTTGCTGAAAAAGCATTAATTTCTTTCAAAAAACGACCTTAAACTTCTGAACGGTGGGAAATATGACACATGCATTGAGTATTTTCAGCTATAAACAACAGCGTCTGAGAAATACGTCCAGCACCCAACAGACAAACCAACAGAAAAGCATTTGCTTTTAATCTCTGGGTTTGCTAAATTAGCATTTTTTCTACCCAAAACAGTCTTCTCTGGCATTTCCACACATTTAGAGCTCGGCCAGTGTGCGATCAAAAGCGCGTCTTCACCACAGAGCTGGTTCTGATTGTGCTGTGTCTGTGATCGTCAGAGAGAGAAGCTCTTTGTTTTTCGTCTCAGAGGCTAATGGTTTTCTAATAGGGTGTTTCTCGGGTTTTGTTTGAGGAAGAAGCCGCTAAATCCTGTAAAAACCACTTAGCTCTCTGTGGCTGAATGAAGGGGTTTAGTCAAGCACATTCCTATGCTCACGTTTTCGCTTTCTTTGCACGCTCGTAATAATAATAATAATTATTATTATTATTAGTAGTAGTATTAGTATTATTTTGCTGTTATATTATATACATTTATTTTTTAGGAAATTATTTATTTAATTTACATGCAATAATAATAATAATAATAATAATAATAACAATAATAAACATTTATAAAAAATTTATTTCATAACGTTAAAAACTATTTATTTAATTATATGTAATAATAATAACTAGGGTTGCAAAGGGGTGGACAATTTCCAGTAAATTTCCAGAAACTTTCCAAAAATCCCTGAAATATTCCAAAAAATCCTGGAAATGTTCCACCTTTTTGCAGCCCTAGTAATAGCATACATTTATTTGCTTAATAGAGAGAACCCAAACAAACAGTCGACGCGGGACCAGGAGAGCTGTTTTCTGGAGTTAGTATGTTGTTGGCATCGGTTAAGCGTTTGGGGTGATGTTTGCAACACGTTTTTAACGAGACGCACCAGTTGCTCAGTAATTAGCCCTGTATCCGCTGCTGGTGTGAGTCCTGAAGACTCGCTGCTGCCGCCGGAGGGGAACACTAGCGCACGAACCGTGATACAGAGCAGCCGCTGATGCCGCAGGAGACAACCGAGACGTCATCCAGAAGAATCACATCTAAGGCTCTTTAGAGTCACGCTTGATTGTTTGTTCTCCTTCTCTCCCTGAAAGCAGCTGTGTAACGTAAGCGAGGCCAGGAGCCGTCCTGTCCTGATGACAAACACCTGGACTCTCAATGAAACCAGCGTCTCAGTGGCTTCGCTTTTCATCTCTAAGCATCTAGCTTTAAGGATCTGCCTGTGGGTCATTACAGCCCATAATCACAGCCCAAACACTGTTCAGATGGCGACAGGTCCACGAGCCTTTACTGCAACGCCTAATGCTTATGAAAGTGAGGAAATCCATTATAATAAACACAATCGGTCAAGAATATGTTAGTTTATCGAAACTCATCTACCATACTAAATTATATATATATATGTAAAGATCTTTTAAGAAAAATAATTAAGAAAACTATTTAAAAAATTTTCTTAATTCAAGAAAAATTTTGTTTTTGAATATTTTAGTATCATTGAGATACTATTATAGTTTTTATTCATTTTCTGAATTAATCCTAGATTTTTATATTTACATTTTAATTTTAGTTACATTTTTAGTACATTTGTTGTGTTTTTCTTTTTTTTTGCTTTCATTTTTATTCGTTTTTTTTAAATGTGTCTATTATTTTTATTACAGTTAACGTTTGAGTTATTTTAGTACTATATTAGTTTTAAGTTAAACTAAATGAAAATGATAAATGCTAATTCCTTGGCAACTAGCTGAAATACAATATGTTTAAAAGTTTCTTTTAACTATTTAATTTTATTTCAGTTTATTTTAATTTCAACAAGTTTCTGTATTTTGTTATAGTTTTAGTTAACTACTGTATAATACCGAAAACCAATCTGAGCACTTGGGAAATGATCACAAGTGTAATTTATTTTGCTGACACTCTCGGATGTTTTATTAAAGGGGTCATATGATGCGATTTCAGTTGTTCCTTTCTCTTTGGAGTGTTACAAGCTGTTCGTGAATAGATAAGATCCCTAGAGTTGCAAAGACTAAAGTCTCAAATCCAAAGGCTCGCCTCGTTCTAACACGCCCCCACATGTCTACCTCACTATGTGGGAAGATTTGCATAACGCCGCCCGAATGTTCACGCAAAGAAAGAAGGCGTAACTTTTATTCTCGCTGTAGTATTGTTGCCGCCGCCGCCACCATGTCGTGAAGACGCTGTGTGTTTCGTTGTGAAAGCGAAACTACTTTGTTTGGTCTTCCAAAAGAGGACACGACTAGAAATCAGTGGTTAAGTTGTATTTACAACACTGTTCCAGAACACTTCAACCCAAATATTCAGATGTGTGCAGCACATTTTATGGAGGACTGTGTCGTGATCCTGGGAGAGTAGACTACAATGCCGGCTGTTCTGACTCACAGACTGTAAGTACGTTTTTTATATTTAAAGAATTTGCCACTGATGAATCAAACGTGAGTTTTGAGCAGTGTAGAGTAGCGCTTGTTGTTTGTCATTTCTCCGATCACAAATGCAGACATGGTTTTATGTTTACGCGGCGCGATGCAATGAAACGCAACGCGTAAAAAGACAGTATAAGTCATTATAATCAGTAATTATGTCCCCACTGGATGCAACGAATGCCTCGTTTATAATGGGTTTTAATGTTTTTGTCTCGTCGCTCCGGCCGGACAGGGCATCACAGTATGGTGAGGGGCGTAACATTTCCGTCACACGCTTGAGGTATTCGGCCAATCACAACGCACTGGATAGCTGGCCAATCACAGCACACCTCGCTTTTCAGACCGATGAGTTTCAGAAAGGCGGGGCATAGAGGAGAAACAATAATGTACAGTATGTGGAAAATAATGTGTTTTTTGAACCTTAAAAACATTTCATTACACCAAATACACAAAATACTGTTCGTTTTAGCAACATCATATGACCCCTTTAAGCATTAAAGTCAATCATGCTGAACGTCAGTTGAATTGAATTCACCCAACCAGATACTCATTACATTATCGCCACAGAAGGAAAGTCAAACATGTTTGAAACAGCATGAAAGTGAGCAAATGATTATGAAATGAACGAGCATGGAGTCAAATCAGATGGACCATTAGATCTGAAAACTTACAGCTTAACAAACAGCTCACATCCCACAAACCTGAAGACTTAGTCAAATAAAAGTTCATTAGTGTGGAGTTTGGGCTGCACTTTACTCAGTCGCGAGCTCTTTCCTGGAGCGAAACGCTGGGCAGACGCCACAGAAAACACACAGGACTAAATCCAGATCTCTGAAAGCAAACTGAATATTGAGATCTCTTTAAATCAAACTTCTGGAAATAGAGCCTGGCGGTGTCGGCTTGTAGGTCGTTCTTGGTTTGAGATGCAAACCGAAAGCTTAAGGAGAGCACCGCTGTCGAGCTCAAATGATTTAAATGACGAGCTGAACAGGCCGCAGAGGCTTTTAATGGCTGATTTCTATCCAGTTTTTCACATGCTATCAAACAGAAATGAGCTCCTCAAAAAAAGAGTGAAAGTCTCTGGGGCTCAAACTTTTTCAGCCTTTCTGGATATGCACAAATAACTCTTCACCCGGCCCACAGTAGCCCTCAAAAACTCAAACTAACTGTGATTAATATCATTCATCCTTCCTCTAGAACAGGGGTTTTCAAACGTTTTGATGCCAATGATCCTTAAATATGATCTCCTGCAAAATAAATAAATAAATAAAGCATGTATTTTATGTGTAAAGGTATATATTTCTTTGTGTACAGGCCCATTTATAGCATGTGAGAAAAACAATGCATGAAATTATAAAGACAATATGTTTGCAAAATGATTGTTTACATTTTAAAAATATTTAAAAATATATTCACAATAACAATTGCAATATTTTCAGGAGTTTTTATTTCATCATATCTAATACTAATAATAACATACATGTATTTGTTTCCTTTATTTCATAAAAACCATGGCTGATTAATCTCCTTTTATTATTATTATTATTATTACTGTGCTTTTACATTTTATTAATTTATTTTTTAGGACTTTATGTATTTCTTCATCATATGTAATAATAATAACACATTTTGTTTTTTGATTTAAATAGTTTTTTATTTAAAAAAATTTAATAAAAAAAAAAAAAACTTATTTAAAATCTATGACTTATAGAATCAAATAATCATGATTAAAATAATAAAATAATTATGAGTAATCTCATTATTTACTTAAAAAAATTTAAAAAGTATATATATATATATATATATATATATATTTTTTTTTTTGAGCAATTAAAAGGTTATCAGTCAGTTATTGAATGCCTTATTTTAAATAATGTCCAATGATATTTTCATAGGTGAAACGTTAATTTGAAAGAAAAATCTCAGACAGATACATAATCCCACAGACCCCATAGTTTGAAAACCCCTGCTCTAGAAGATATTCCCTGTACATTTCAATTAGGTTCAGCCTTTAATCATGAAGCAGCTTGACAAGATAAGCACACATGATTTCAGTTCATACCGGCTCGTTCAGGTTGACACCGGACCCCCGCCGCTCTAAAGCCACATAACACAACAGGGTAGTTTGCTAAATCAGCGTGATTGAGCTCCTCGGCCACCAGACACTCGCAGGCACATGCAGGATTCCCGCTCGGAGGATCGTTCTAATTCAATTCTCCTTTTGTGTTTGATTTTCAAGCAGCACCGTAATCTCATTGGTCACAGTAAGGGGATGCATCGAGAAACAGCCGACTCATGCTGCATCGGTTTAAGCTTGCGGTCGGGATGTAAACCTTTTATGTGCAAAACGAGCAACAGCATAAATCAAAGCATTCAGCTGAAGTCCTGCATACTGCAGCAAATCTGAACAAGTTAAGCATTGGTGCTTTAAAAAAGGGTGGGGACGCGTCTACAGGATTGATCCTGAATACATTTAGGGCTCAAACCACACCAGCGTTCATGTCCCATTAAATCCAGCTCTTTGACAGGTAACAGGCAGTGTTGTCTCACCTGGCGTAAATGTTTCCGGGCGGAACGGCCTCCTGGAAGAACTGGAACTGGTAGAGGTAGAGCATGATGAGGTGTCCGGCGCTGAAGATGGCCATCAGGACACACAGACAGCTGAAGAGCAGCGGGTCGAACGTGCGGCAGAAAGACCACCAGGTGCACAGGCCCAGGAAGGTGAAGAAATACACAGTGGAGGTCAGAGAAGGCAACATCATACCTGGAACAAGGACACATTGAGAGAAGGCTGAGAAAAGTCATTTCCAGAGCCAATACTAAAGGTGCAGTGGAATTTAGGCACAATCTGTGTGCAAAAGATCTTTCTCCCTTATTCAAAACTCCCAATTATGTGGATTCCTATTTAAATTACTAGATTTTTTGCGCTGAAAGGAAGAGTTTCCCCAAAAATGAAAATTTGCTGAAAACTTTTACATCAGTGTCTCAGCAATGGATGCTCTGCAGTGAATGGGTGCCGTCAAGAAATACATTACAGTTTAACACAGATTCACACACAAAACACTTATTCTAAACTAGAATAATATTTCACAATATTACAGTTTTTACTGTATTTTTGATCACATAAATGCAACCTTGATGAGCAGAAGAGACTTACTAAAACAATAATAATTCCATATTACTGACCCCAAACTTTCGAGTGGTCCTATATATTATTCACAGAAGATTTGGCATTTCTGAAATGCTTTGATTGGCCAGAAATGTCCAAGTGCCACATTATTGAGATATTGTTGTACCTGTCTGTGTTATGAAGCAGACCGCTGATTAAAATTCCCAGGTGTACTTACATGTTCACTGTTATCTCTCTGGTGTCATATTACATCACTTTCATAACTTTACCATTGTAGTAGGCACAAGGAAAACAAAACCCGAAAAACAGAAAACGTATGCATTCTACCACAGAAAGATACATTAAACTTCACTAAAAGTTTGATCAAATCCCGTCGCGTCTGTCTACAATCTCTAAAGTGTTTTTTAAGTGTTTATCAAAGGAAATATGAAGGAAAAGGTCTTTATTATTCCTTGGCAGCAAAGACAAACTAGACTTTTCAGAAGAAAACATGAGTGGTTTTTGCCTGTGAAAACTACAAGTTGTTGTGGGTTACAGGAAGAAAATTTTAAGTGTGATTGTTTAGAAAAGTAACAACTACAAGCCTCTTAAATAAATAAATACATAAATAAATTCTGACTTGGCAAATATCACAGTCAAATTTATTAGAATGTTCAAAACATTGCTTCTTTCTGTTTGATCTGTTGTAAGATGAATCTGGTCTCTCTGATGAAGACCAGAGGAGTTAAAGTGAGTCTCCGGTTCTCCCCGGCACAGATTTAATCAAATTCAAACCCATAACTCAGCAAAACTCAATTCTTACCATCAGAATAGACTTCAGTTTCAAAGACAACATCCGTCAGGTTCAGATAAACATTTTTTGGGTCGGTGAGTGATACTCAAAACCAGAAATTCAATGGAGCCTTATTTTGTTATATTAAATCTGACCCAATTCTTTGGGGAAGGTGAGGATTGGTGAACGATTGGCAGACCAAATGATGCCACATGAAAGATCCGCTCACAGAAAAAACACAGTTCTTCAAGACAGATTTGTGAAGGATTAACAAAACTTTACATTATATAAAGTTGGCTGCATGTGAGGAATTGAGTCTGAAAGTTAGTAGTGTTTCGGACGTTGTCTGGAGGTCAGTGTTAATTTTGACAGCATATTTTGATTTAGTTTTAGTCATATTTTAGTCATCTGAATTGTTTTTAGTTTTAGTCGACTAAATATCATAAGATTGTAGTCGACTAAATTACAGTAAATTTAGTCGGCTACAATCTAATGGGTTTAGTTACAGTGTAATGCATTTATTAAGCATTTCTTAAAAATGTCCAAACTCATTATATAGATTTGATATTAAGGTTTTATCATGATAGACACCGATTTAACTGCGGTGACACACAACATGCCTTTATGTTAAAATTAAATAAAACCACTTCTCATAAAGAACAAGAACATGGTCTACTTTTTAATGAAATACCAATGGTTATATAGGCTAATTATGCATTCTTTATAGCAACTTGTTTACCGTATTCTTCATTCTTTCAAGCAGACATTACTATAAATAAATTTAGATGAATCTTTAAGGCTACTAAAGTTGTTCAGTCAAGAGCAGTGCGTGATTTTCTATCTTTCTGTTGTTGCTTGATTAATATCAATGACTCGGACAATAGCAACTAAATTAGGCTGCTGTCCCTTTAAAACCGAACGCACAGCTGCAATGGATGCAATGTACTGATACACGTTCTCCCTGCTGTTTACATTCACTTAAGACTTAATCAACTGCGTTTACTTGAATACTCGTCAAAACGGACAATCCGACATCATTTTGTGTGTAATTCTCCGTTCATGTGACGCGAGAGAGTACTCACGCGCTGTGAGAGGCGCTTTCTGTGTGTGTGCTTCAGTGTCTGCGCTCAGAAAACCAGACTGAACTGAGCTCTCTCTTGCATCGTCAGATTTATCCATATGTCTGCTCTTCTCTTACTCCCACATATTGACATTTTTTGAACGTTTAATGCGACGTGCAGCAAGTGTATGTTAGCTGTCCCGCCGGTTCATATGTACGCATAACCTCAGAGCCACGCAGCAGATTCCTTCTGAATGAATCTCTTCCCAAATCGTCCCTCCCTAACATTTTTGTCTCGTTTTTATTTGGTGACGAAAATGTCAATAGATTTACGTCATAATTTTTGTCATTCAAAAAGAGTTTTAGTTTTAGTTATCGTCGCGAAGAAAAAAATGTAGTTGACGACAATTATGATGAAAATTATTCGAAAACTAAATTAACACTGCTGATCAAATCAAAAAGAGGCTTGTTGACGTCAGCGCAGCTAACATAAATATGTTCTAAGAACGGTTTGATAACATTTCTGAATGTTCGCTGAACCGTTTCTTGGTCATGTGGACCAAGACATTCCATTTTATAATTTTGCAAACATTATGAGGAAAGTTCGTTTTGAATATTCTCGGAACCATCTGAAACTAGAAAGTATTAATGTTTTAAAAAACGCAGACAAGCATCCAACTAAAATGTTTCAGAAAAACGTTCTATGAATGATGTATACATAATGTTTCTGAAAGACCAGATAACTCTCTAACATTAACGTTCTATTAACGTTACTGGAAGAACGTTTGTTTGCGTTAGCTGCCGTTCTGAGAACGCTCCTGTTAGCTGGGTCTTTGCTAGCTTCTCTAAACGCTAGGCTGCTCTCTGTGCTACCCAGATTGAAATAATACAAGTCCCGCTGAGCAAAATCAGCTGTTTATTTGAACGAGCCTCGCTTCGCTGTGAAAACAACAAAATCGACAGCGTTTCCCTCGACTATATTTACCATATCACCACAGAGAATGAGTACTCTGTGCACTTCCACTAAAGAGCTCATCTTAATGGGCAAATCCACACAAAAACAGCCTTCTGGTAGAACTTCAGAAAACCATGTGACTTTAATATCTCTAGCTGATCATCCTTACTGACAGAACAAGTCACTCTTGATGAGAAGATGAGGCTTTGTAAAAGGGTTTGTGTTTGGACTCGTATTTTAGCTGGAAGCACCTGTTCTTGATGGATTTGTTTCTTCACAAGACATGGACTGGATTGCTAATGTGGTTTGAATCTCTCTGTATATACTGTACACAAAATATTACATAAAAAGCTTGCATACTATCAAACTAATTTTATACTTCACATTTGTCTTCATTAAAGGTGTCATAAACTCTTTTTAATTACTTTATACTGTTCTCTGAGGTCCACTTATAACACAATGAAGATTTTTACATCAAACAACATCACAATTCAGAAGTATGAGGCTATTTTCTGTCCTGTTTTGCACAGCATCGTCTTTTAGTTTCAGTCTTTCTGAAAATCCTGCTTTACAAATCTTGTTTGTAAATGAATCCACAGTAAAATGAAGTGAACAAAGGACACGATCTGGATCTTCATTAAAAATAATTAAAAAGGGGATTTTGATTTCTCAGTTCATCAGCTATTGTCCATCACGAGTCAAACACTATCAGTAATTCTTGTATTTCTCGTTCATTGTGGTGTCGTATGCTCAGCTGTTACTGTCTTATTGACATGCTGGCCTGTTTTTCTTGGAAGAGCTACTGCTAGTTGTTTTTCTTGGTTTCTGTAATAAGAATAAGAATATTAAAACAACTTGACTTCATCCGCACACCTTTAAACACTTCCGGTGTGGTCTTAATTATCTGCCTGTCACGATCCATAAAGGTCTGAGCATGTGGGAAAGCGTTCCAACATTTTACCACCCACAAACAACTAACTGTCCCATCGAGCAATGACGCCTGTTTAAACATCAATACAGATCTATATGGCATGTCACCTATCCAGAAAAGAATTAAACTCATGAGAGAATATGGATTAGAGAGAGAGAGAGAGAGTGAAATATAAAGAAAAAGAATCAGTGTGGGGGAAAAAAGGCAAAAGGTTGGGGGGTTGGTAACTTCAGCACCGCCACCGAAAAAACAACACCAGCAAATGTTTTCCAGATGTGAACCTCCTGAACACACACACACATTCACACACATACACGCACACACACACTCACACACACACTCACACACTCACACACACACACACACACACACACACAAACTCGCAATCGCACACGCACATGCACACACACACACACACACACACTATCTCACACACACACACACACACACGCACACACACACACACACACACACTCTCGCGCACACACACACACACACACACACTCTCGCGCACACACACACACACACACACACTCTCGCGCACACACACACACACACACACACTCTCGCGCACACACACACACACACACACTCACTCACTCACACAGACGTGTTGGAATGCAAATGCATTGTTAATGGCATTAAGAAAGTGAGTAATTAGGAAACATGTGGGTGCTGAATGTCCAGTGACAATGCAAATATTCATCTGATGATTAATGTTGCATACATCTGGTTCATGCAATGCCAAACTCAGTAGCTTGTGTGCTTTATTACAGAGACCCAAGCCAGTAAACAATATATTCATTACATATCGTACTTACATTTGACAGACCACGATTTCTTTTCTGAACTTACAGCATGTAAAGTGTACGATGTTATGATAACCAGCAAACATTTAAAGGCTCCACTGAAATGTGCTGAAAAATTGTTCACTCTCAGACGATCAGAGATTAGGATGAGTTTGTTTCTTCATCAGGTTTGTAGAAATGTAGCATTGCATCAGTGTCTCAGCAATGGATGCTCTGCAGTGAATGGGTGCCGTCAGAATGAGAGTCCAAACAGCTGATAACACTTTTTCACTGGAGGAAGAGTTATTATGGATTATAGACTCAATGTATTTTAGTTAAAAGCGTCTTAATGCTGGATTTGTTTCAGCTTTTGTCTTCTCCAGATGTTAACTGATGGACTGGAGTGCTGTGGATTACTTGTGGATTATTGTGATGTTTTTATCAGACTCTCATTCTGACGGCACCCATTCACTGCAGAGCATCCATCGCTGAGAAAGTGATATACATTCTCAGCAACTTTTCATTTTTGGCTGAACTATTTCTTTAATTGCACTATATAAGTCACTTTGGAATACAAGTTGCAGCACATTTCAAATGCTAAAAAACTTGACTTATATTTTGGAAAACACAGTAAGTATCTGGAGCTTATTTTGACTGTCAGGTGAAGAAAAAAAGTAGGCTAGAAATAGAACACCTCTCCTCAACAAGCCCAAACACCCCCTGATCTTTCCTCTAAACCTCCATGAGGAACTAATGAGAAAAATGAGTTGTTGTTGATGTTGTTTTGCTGATTTGATTTTGTGTGGCTTTTTGCACTTCTGTATTGCATTTAGTTTTATAAGGAATCCAAAGTAATGCTTCCTATTGCTATTATTTTAAATGTTCATAGGCTCCTATTGTGTTTTTTAGTTTCCTTTTTATTCTTCAGCTTCCTCCACTGGAGTCAATGTGACAAAAAGTAGTACAATGTGTTTGGGAAAGGTCTGAGAAGTCTCGTCAGTATTTGACATTTCAGGTAAAACTATTTAAAAAAACAAAAATCTTGTCTAATGAATCATTCACACACGAAATATACCAATGTAGTGTATAAAATACAGTATTGTTTCAATTATGAACATTAGAAGTCCTGTTCATCTATTTTATTTTACAGCAGCTTCCCAAACCCGCAGGATTCTGATCTTTTCTGTTTGCACTTTTATTTCATCATTCGTTTTTCTAAAGCAATGTTATCCAGTGTTTAGCTACATCATGCATCATGAGGCCCAAACATCTCCATCCGCTCAATGTATGTTTTCATAGGAACTGAAGGATCTTTTATGGCAGAAGATCAAATTCAAAGCAAGCACTTAGTGGAAATCAATACACTAAAATATGTTTATTCTTCCTAGATCAATTAACTGGTCACACTCATTATATTTAAAACATTCTGTGTATTTGTAGACAGAGTAAGTGAGAAAGCGATCTCTTGAAAGTGAATTAGGACACATTAATTTCCACTAGTTTAGGTATTTGTGCAGACAGTAGGCTTGACTTATTGGCACGAAGGGTCCTTGCTGAGTTGAATACACATTTATGTATTGTTTCAGCACGTCATATCAATCAGAGAATGAAATTCAAATTAAGGCTCTTCATTAAAGAAGCATATGTTTGATCAATGGATTCAGTTTTCTAATACGCTGTGGTCTTTATCATACGTGAGCTGATCAAACTCAGCATCAGGTCTGAGTTCCGAATAATCAAGCGCAAAAAATAAATCCACAATATTGATAATAAACTCTTGAGTAAGTTCAATATTTAGCCTTCACATGCAGGCAATCAGGTGCGTGTCGCTATAGAAGTCTGTACGCAAGTCACTGATTATTTTCATTATTATTATTATTTATACAAATTAAAATCTTTCTTCACTCATGTTTTAATTTCTATACACGGATGAAGAATTTTTTTTTTTTAATATTAATAATTAGTATAATAAAGCCATGGTTAGTATAATTAATAATTAGTAGCATATTAATTAATTGTTATATTTTCTATTGATTACACTTTAAGAGATCAATTCAATTGTCAATTTGCACTAAATCATACAACGCATAATTCAGATAAAATAAAACTAAAAACACATTAATGGGGGGATAAAATAAAACAGGCAATATTTTCTTTAGATTAAAAGATTACATTTCTTTATTTTAGGAACTCAGTTAATTAGACACATTTTTTTTGATGATGAATTTGCAGTAAATCATACAATAGAATCTGAAAAAATAAAACGTTTTTAAAAAAAATTAATAAAAAGTATTTAACTGGGCCAGAATGAAAAGGTAGCTTAGTCTGTGGAGTTTAAACAAACAACTTAGATTTATAATAATTCTTGTGGTCCAACAAACATGTGGAATCCATCGAGTACTATATAACACAGATATTCTTTCATCCATGTTTTAATTTATACAGAATGCAAGTTCTGTGGTGCAGGACCTTATTTGACAAAAAACAAAAATGCATTTATTTATGCACATTGTTATATTTTCTTTTGCTTACATTTTTAAAATGATGGTTTCATTTTATGAATTAATCTCACCAAATCATACTGAATCCTGATTACACACAACAGAAAACAGAGTTTGGTGAAAAACTAATTAACCAAAATTAAAAGGTAGCTTAGTCTGTGGAGTTTATTTGTCAACAAACAACTTACATTTTTATTCATTCTTGAGGACTAACAAACACGTGGAAAGCATTTCCTTCTGTATTAATGGTATGAAATTAATATTGTGAGAAATACTGATATCGAATGATATTGTGATAACATTTTTGACCGTGTCGCTCAGTCTTGGCATCAATACTAGAACTGAAACACTGCAGAAGGTAGACTGCTCACTTTAGTGTTAGTGTTTTTATACAGTCTATGGTTTTCTCACCTGATCGTCCACCTCAAAGTCACTGTTGTGCTGAGACACGTCCTTCAGCAGCGGTTTCTCCAGACTGCGGCAGAGGAGCCACGTGACCAGACCCACCACGAACATGCCGATGTCCGGGATGAACACTCGGATGCCGTTCCCGGCGTCTGCACCTCGGACACTGCGGCGAGATACACACACATACAGTACAGTTATTAAAGAGAGCGTGCAAAGTTCTCCCAGTTCTCCATTGCTTGGGTAACCCTGCAGTCCCATCGTTGACACACACACCGCCGGTGGAGCCAGAAGTTGACATGACGGACCGCTCATGTTTAGACTGCACCACAGAGCCTCAGTGTTTACACTCTTTGGGAAGTCATGGTTTACTTACAGGTGCCTCTGTATATTAAACTGGGATAGGAGGAAATATTTTAACATAAAAAATTACACAAGATAAATGTTTAGGTAAATTATATACAGTAGAAGTAAATTAAAACTGTGTCCGTTCCTCTTGAGCCAAACATTTGTGTCCCTGCAGCACAGAAGCAGTGTTAAGTCGCTGGGGGATATTTGTAGCAATAGCCAACAATACATTGTATGGGTCAAAATTATAGATTTTTCTTTTATGCCAAAAATCATTAGGATATTAAGTAAAGATCATGTTCCATGAAGATATTTTGTAAATTTCCTACCATAAATATATCAAAACTTAATGTTTGATTAGTAATATGCATTGCTAAGAACTTTGCTCTGCAGTGAATGGGTGCCGTCAGAATGAGAGTCCAAACAGCTGATAAAAACATCACAATAATCCACAAGTAATCCACAGCACTCTAGTCCATCAGTGAACATCTGGAGAAGACAAAAGCTGAAACAAATCCAGCATTAAGACGCTTTTAACTAAAATACATTGAGTCTATAATCCATAATAACTCTTCCTCCAGTGAAAAAGTGCATCTGCTGTTGTCTCTCACATCAAAATCCAGCCACATATGTGTTTAGAGCCGTTTAAACGCTGCTTGATCTGTGCAGATTTCTCTCCTGATTCACACCAGAACACTTTTTCACTGGAGGAAGAGTTATTATGGATTATAGACTCAATGTATTTTAGTTAAAAGCGTCTTAATGCTGGATTAGTTTCAGCTTTTGTCTTCTCCAGATGTTAACTGATGGACTGGAGTGCTGTGGATTACTTGTGGATTATTGTGATGTTTTTATCAGACTCTCATTCTGACGGCACCCATTCACTGCAGAGCATCCATCGCTGAGAAAGTGATATACATTCTCAGCAACTTTTCATTTTTGGCTGAACTATTTCTTTAATTGCACTATATAAGTCACTTTGGAATACAAGTTGCAGCACATTTCAAATGCTAACAAACTTGACTTATATTTTGGAAAACACAGTAAGTATCTGGAGCTTATTTTGACTGTCAGGTGAAGAAAAAAAGTAGGCTAGAAATAGAACACCTCTCCTCAACATGCCCAAACACCCCCTGATCTTTCCTCTAAACCTCCATGAGGAACTAATGAGAAAAATGAGTTGTTGTTGATGTTGTTTTGCTGATTTGATTTTGTGTGGCTTTTTGCACTTCTGTATTGCATTTAGTTTTATAAGGAATCCAAAGTAATGCTTCCTATTGCTATTATTTTAAATGTTCATAGGCTCCTATTGTGTTTTTTAGTTTCCTTATTATTCTTCAGCTTCCTCCACTGGAGTCAATGTGACAAAAAGTAGTACAATGTGTTTGGGAAAGGTCTGAGAAGTCTCGTCAGTATTTGACATTTCAGGTAAAACTATTTAAAAAAACAAAAATCTTGTCTAATGAATCATTCACACACGAAATATACCAATGTAGTGTATAAAATACAGTATTGTTTCAATTATGAACATTAGAAGTCCTGTTCATCTATTTTATTTTACAGCAGCTTCCCAAACCCGCAGGATTCTGATCTTTTCTGTTTGCACTTTTATTTCATCATTCGTTTTTCTAAAGCAATGTTATCCAGTGTTTAGCTACATCATGCATCATGAGGCCCGAACATCTCCATCCGCTCAATGTATGTTTTCATAGGAACTGAAGGATCTTTTATGGCAGAAGATCAAATTCAAAGCAAGCACTTAGTGGAAATCAATACACTAAAATATGTTTATTCTTCCTAGATCAATTAACTGGTCACACTCATTATATTTAAAAGATTCTGTGTATTTGTAGACAGAGTAAGTGAGAAAGCGATCTCTTGAAAGTGAATTAGGACACATTAATTTCCACTAGTTTAGGTATTTGTGCAGACAGTAGGCTTGACTTATTGGCACGAAGGGTCCTTGCTGAGTTGAATACACATTTATGTATTGTTTCAGCACGTCATATCAATCAGAGAATGAAATTCAAATTAAGGCTCTTCATTAAAGAAGCATATGTTTGATCAATGGATTCAGTTTTCTAATACGCTGTGGTCTTTATCATACGTGAGCTGATCAAACTCAGCATCAGGTCTGAGTTCCGAATAATCAAGCGCAAAAAATAAATCCACAATATTGATAATAAACTCTTGAGTAAGTTCAATATTTAGCCTTCACATGCAGGCAATCAGGTGCGTGTCGCTATAGAAGTCTGTACGCAAGTCACTGATTATTTTCATTATTATTATTATTTATACAAATTAAAATCTTTCTTCACTCATGTTTTAATTTCTATACACGGATGAAGAATTTTTTTTTTTTAATATTAATAATTAGTATAATAAAGCCATGGTTAGTATAATTAATAATTAGTAGCATATTAATTAATTGTTATATTTTCTATTGATTACACTTTAAGAGATCAATTCAATTGTCAATTTGCACTAAATCATACAACGCATAATTCAGATAAAATAAAACTAAAGACACATTAATGGGGGGATAAAATAAAACAGGCAATATTTTCTTTAGATTAAAAGATTACATTTCTTTATTTTAGGAACTCAGTTAATTAGACACATTTTTTTTTATGATGAATTTGCAGTAAATCATACAATAGAATCTGAAAAAATAAAACGTTTTTAAAAAAAATTAATAAAAAGTATTTAACTGGGCCAGAATGAAAAGGTAGCTTAGTCTGTGGAGTTTAAACAAACAACTTAGATTTATAATAATTCTTGTGGTCCAACAAACATGTGGAATCCATCGAGTACTATATAACACAGATATTCTTTCATCCATGTTTTAATTTATACAGAATGCAAGTTCTGTGGTGCAGGACCTTATTTGACAAAAAACAAAAATGCATTTATTTATGCACATTGTTATATTTTCTTTTGCTTACATTTTTAAAATGATGGTTTCATTTTATGAATTAATCTCACCAAATCATACTGAATCCTGATTACACACAACAGAAAACAGAGTTTGGTGAAAAACTAATTAACCAAAATTAAAAGGTAGCTTAGTCTGTGGAGTTTATTTGTCAACAAACAACTTACATTTTTATTCATTCTTGAGGACTAACAAACACGTGGAAAGCATTTCCTTCTGTATTAATGGTATGAAATTAATATTGTGAGAAATACTGATATCGAATGATATTGTGATAACATTTTTGACCGTGTCGCTCAGTCTTGGCATCAATACTAGAACTGAAACACTGCAGAAGGTAGACTGCTCACTTTAGTGTTAGTGTTTTTATACAGTCTATGGTTTTCTCACCTGATCGTCCACCTCAAAGTCACTGTTGTGCTGAGACACGTCCTTCAGCAGCGGTTTCTCCAGACTGCGGCAGAGGAGCCACGTGACCAGACCCACCACGAACATGCCGATGTCCGGGATGAACACTCGGATGCCGTTCCCGGCGTCTGCACCTCGGACACTGCGGCGAGATACACACACAGTTGTTGTTGATGTTGTTTTGCTGATTTGATTTTGTGTGGCTTTTTGCACTTCTGTATTGCATTTAGTTTTATAAGGAATCCAAAGTAATGCTTCCTATTGCTATTATTTTAAATGTTCATAGGCTCCTATTGTGTTTTTTAGTTTCCTTTTTATTCTTCAGCTTCCTCCACTGGAGTCAATGTGACAAAAAGTAGTACAATGTGTTTGGGAAAGGTCTGAGAAGTCTCGTCAGTATTTGACATTTCAGGTAAAACTATTTAAAAAAACAAAAATCTTGTCTAATGAATCATTCACACACGAAATATACCAATGTAGTGTATAAAATACAGTATTGTTTCAATTATGAACATTAGAAGTCCTGTTCATCTATTTTATTTTACAGCAGCTTCCCAAACCCGCAGGATTCTGATCTTTTCTGTTTGCACTTTTATTTCATCATTCGTTTTTCTAAAGCAATGTTATCCAGTGTTTAGCTACATCATGCATCATGAGGCCCAAACATCTCCATCCGCTCAATGTATGTTTTCATAGGAACTGAAGGATCTTTTATGGCAGAAGATCAAATTCAAAGCAAGCACTTAGTGGAAATCAATACACTAAAATATGTTTATTCTTCCTAGATCAATTAACTGGTCACACTCATTATATTTAAAACATTCTGTGTATTTGTAGACAGAGTAAGTGAGAAAGCGATCTCTTGAAAGTGAATTAGGACACATTAATTTCCACTAGTTTAGGTATTTGTGCAGACAGTAGGCTTGACTTATTGGCACGAAGGGTCCTTGCTGAGTTGAATACACATTTATGTATTGTTTCAGCACGTCATATCAATCAGAGAATGAAATTCAAATTAAGGCTCTTCATTAAAGAAGCATATGTTTGATCAATGGATTCAGTTTTCTAATACGCTGTGGTCTTTATCATACGTGAGCTGATCAAACTCAGCATCAGGTCTGAGTTCCGAATAATCAAGCGCAAAAAATAAATCCACAATATTGATAATAAACTCTTGAGTAAGTTCAATATTTAGCCTTCACATGCAGGCAATCAGGTGCGTGTCGCTATAGAAGTCTGTACGCAAGTCACTGATTATTTTCATTATTATTATTATTTATACAAATTAAAATCTTTCTTCACTCATGTTTTAATTTCTATACACGGATGAAGAATTTTTTTTTTTTAATATTAATAATTAGTATAATAAAGCCATGGTTAGTATAATTAATAATTAGTAGCATATTAATTAATTGTTATATTTTCTATTGATTACACTTTAAGAGATCAATTCAATTGTCAATTTGCACTAAATCATACAACGCATAATTCAGATAAAATAAAACTAAAGACACATTAATGGGGGGATAAAATAAAACAGGCAATATTTTCTTTAGATTAAAAGATTACATTTCTTTATTTTAGGAACTCAGTTAATTAGACACATTTTTTTTTATGATGAATTTGCAGTAAATCATACAATAGAATCTGAAAAAATAAAACGTTTTTAAAAAAAATTAATAAAAAGTATTTAACTGGGCCAGAATGAAAAGGTAGCTTAGTCTGTGGAGTTTAAACAAACAACTTAGATTTATAATAATTCTTGTGGTCCAGATATTTAGATTTTTTATTTTTATTTGATTTTTATTTACCTCAGATTCCAGATTTTCAAATAGTTGCATCTCGGCCAAATATTGTCCTATCCTAACGAACCATACATCAATGGAAAGCTTATTTATTCAGTTATTCATGTATAAATATTATATATCACTTAAGACTGGTTTTGTGGTCCAGGGTCAGATTTAAGATGAATTTTACGAGTGCTCTTAGTGCAACAATGAGCTGCCTCTTAAAAACACACAAAAACACTCTGTTCTGTAATAAAAGCCTGTGACTCCCAGTATCCTCGCTCACAGCGCTGGCCCGTCTGGATCTCATTTCCGCGCTCAGCCCGAGTCGAGAGAGATTTTACATGAAACCAACCCATTCAAGCCTCAGGACAACATCACTTCAGAGAGCGGCCCGTCTCCCTGCTGAAAACTGAAACGCCACTTGTTTCATACTCGCACGTCCATAGCGCTCATTTTCAGATCTTTAAAGGTTAACTCTGGAAGCCCAGCGCTTTTCAGAAGCTGTTCGAGAGTCTCATCAGACGATCATTTCAATAGACCAAGTGCAAAAAGCGTGAACACAACAATAAACATATTTTGAAGATATCTTGTAAAATATATGTTGGGAAAATATGGCAAATTCTGAAACTCAACTTGCTCTAATGTACAGTATAATATAAGTGCTACTTGATTATTGTAGTTAACCATGGATTTAATAAATAAAAAAGGTAATTGTATTAAACCACAGTAACCACAAATTAACCATGGTTTTGCTACACTAACCATAGTTTAACCATGGTGTTTATAAAAATATATAGTTTAGTCATTAAACTCTAGATGGTGCCGGCTGACGGGTGTTAATGTAACCGATGATATTCAGAGAGTTAAACGACTTGGCACAAGCTGATTGGTTCATGCTGCATATGCAGCCAATGAGCTTACTGCCTCGCATTTATATGGCTGCTAGCATTCACTAGAGATTCCTGCAGCGCGCTTTCAGAGTTCTCTGAAACCCTCCACCTTCCCCAGCTCCACCTGTATAGATCTGCTACGGGTTATTTTATATGCTATTTGTGCAGCAGCAGTATGTCTTAAATACTCATGGCACAGTATCGCCGTATACATTGGCAGCAGCAAGCTCTTGTACTTGCTTGCAGCAATAATCTACAACTACAGCAATAACCAACAGCAGCAGCAGCGTAGCAGATCTGTTCCGCCAAGACCAAATACATTAACAGTGTCATATCCATCACCATGCTAAAATGTTCCGAGAGTTGTCATGTTTAAACTGTGGTTATACAAATGACAATCAACCCGCCAAAAAAACATGGTTACTACACTTTTACTATAATAAAGCCATGGTTAATTTTCGTAAGGGTGTATTTTATTGTAACGCAGTACTGTTAATTCTTTGGATTTTAGTCATGAACATCAATCAATCACTATAATATTTTACTTGATTTGTGAATGACAGTTTGCCTATCTGTATCAAATGTGATAAGATAAAACACCATAACCCAAAAATAATATTAAGATGACGTGACTTTTATCGAGCTGTACACAAAAACAACAAACAGCGTGAGCGTAGTGTGATTCACGAACAAATGACTCTTATGAGCCGGTTCTTTTAAGTGAATCATAAACTTACTGCTTTAGACTGACCCACAAGAAAATGACTCGTGTATCGTTAGTTCTTTTAATGAATCGTTCAAAAAGAGTGAGCGGTTTGAGTCAATACGATAGATTCAACAAAATCGATGTCCGTCGGTGATGTCTGTCGTGAAATGAAGTTTCGTGTATGTAGGGTTTATAAAAAGATTATTACCGACTTATTCTTCATAGGACAACAGCATGTAGTTATGTGCCGGATATCCGGTCAAATAGCATGCAAAGATGCTACAAGTTAAAATCGAGTAACTTTTTACCCTAAAAAATATTTTAGGGTACTTTGTCTAATTTCATCCTGCCAACGACAACCATTTAAAATTATTTATTATAATTATGTACTATGAATTACCGAAGCGACACCAAGCAACACAGAAGTGGTGTTAGTTTCCTGAATGAATCAGTATTTTGAACAAATCATTTGAGTTAATGATTCAATGACTCACTCATAAAAAAACAGTCACTTGCTGCCACCTACTGGTCTGACGGTGTAATCTCCAACATTCACTGAAACTCCCCATCAATAAATAATAATATTAGTAATAATAATTTACTCTGTTTGCTCTTAAATACAATATACAGAGATAAAGGGAGAATATTCATTCTACAAATGGTAAAATTGTCAGCTGAAAAAGCTACTTTTGCCTTGCTGTCAATTGCGTAACCCCACACATAAATGTTTGGGTAGACTCAGGACAAGATCCCTGCGTTCAAAGCAAAGCTTCTCTGACTAGCCTCCATGCAATGGCTTTGAAGTGTGTGATATTTGCTTCATAAACCGTAATAAGTGTCAGACGTTATGGTTAACGTGCCGAAAACAGCCCAAGTGTGATTGGCTCATGGCACAGATGCACTTTGTAATGACGTCCGCTGTATTTAAACAGTTTACAGTATTGCTCAGAGAGGCCTTTCATCTCGGCGAGCTCATAAAGAGAAAACTGTGAGCAGACACAACTAAAGACAAAGGAGGAGGGCCACAGATGGCACTGATTTGGGTAAAAGCAATGAATTATGGGAACCAGCGAAAGCAAACCTTTAGTTTCACTGCTGGACACTGAACGAGCAATTAAGAGATTCAATTAGATTCAAGAACAAACTGAGATGCTGATGTTCATGGATTGGTGGTGAGGTTAGGGTCAAGATAGAGTTTAGTTTTAATGAGCGCCGCTGAACACAGAGGAGGAATGTGGGCTGACGCTGGCTGGCGTTTCACCAGGTGTCTCAGCAGGAGTCAGCGGATCCCACAGACCCAACCGCAGCCAAAAAGACATTACCTTCGCCTTCCCCGGGTGAGCGGCTCAACTCCAATGCTGAAATACCAGTGAAATGGAGCAGAGATCAGCTGCTTCCAGAGCAGCCAACGAGAAACTGTCCAAACAAACTCAAGCAAAACAAACCCAATAGAGCTCGATTACAGCAAAATCCTGCCAGGGCAAAAACCTCTTTCTGATGCATTAGATATGGCAAAAAGCATGCACAAATATTGCTATAAAATTAAACTGCAGCAAGTCATGGATTTCAAGGGACAGGGCTGTAAGCTTTAGAAACAAAACTCTTTTGTTCTCTGGATTACGAAAAATTAAACTGCTTCATTATCTAGAACATTTTCTGTAAGCTTTAACAGTATAAATAAATAAATAAATAAATAAATAAATATATATATATATATACAGAATATATACATACACATATATATTTAATGTATTTA